TATAAAAAGCTATGTATTTTATAATTATGAAGTTATAATTATTAAGCTGTAATTACGTGTGTGCTTATAATTAGTTAATTTTTTTATATGTAGGTACATTGAATACATTGAATTGAATTGAATTTATTTTTGTTATCATCTTTAATACTTATATTCAGAATGAACTTTTTAGGTTGTGGTGGCTAGATTGATTCATTAGAGAAGTGGAAGAAATGCTTATGTGAAAAGGCGCAAATCCCGTGCATTTGAATCAAACGATTGAATTTAAGCACAGAGTTACCTCCACACAATAGCACAATTCAAAATTTTATAGCAGAATCAAGCACCATCCAAAGTGTTGCCGACTTAAATCTTAAAATCTACTAATTAATAAAAGTAAACCATTATTACTTATTACCACTAGAAGATTCTCAATTCGGCTTTTGTGTGTATGTTACGCGATTAAGCCATTTTTGAACCAGTATCGATGATTCTTTTTTTTGGAGAGGGGTACCTCAGTATTGGTCCAATTCAAATTTGAAGAAAATATTCCACCTCTAAGGGTGGCAAATTAGGGGATAAATTCAGTTTATTGGATTTCACACACTTTCCGTTAACCGATTTCAATAAAACTTGCCCAATAGACGTATTTCCACAGACTCTTGAAGTTGGTTTTTTTGTAATAAAAAACTCGTATGTCTAATTCAATCAGTTTAGTTTTAAATACTAACTTCATTAAATGTGCTTATTTTTTACATCCGGTACGGTATACTGGTACCGTTAATTCACACGTATTTGAAAAAAAAAATAATTTTACAAATGTGGGCGTACATTTACTTCAATAATTAACAACTATTCATATTACGGGGAATTAAAAGACGTTAATGAGATAAAATACGTTTTAAAACTTAGCTTGCCGAATATTTACACCTCTGTGTTACCACCAAGGACAAGAAAACTACATTTCAAGAAACGTGACTCCAGAGATGTGTATGGTCATTCGTATTTTTTTGTAAACTCTTTGGTATATCTATCTTTAGCTGATATGCAGGAAATTACAATAAATAATCATCTAGAAGATTATCTAGATCATTCTGAATACAAATTTATCTAAAATCAATAGATAAATCGTTGTTTTGCAATACAGACACCAGTTCCAAACATCAAATTTTATACAAACAAAAACAACGCTAGATAACTCTCTATCCATTCGCGATAGTAACAGAAAATGTATCTTCCGAAAGATGTGATTTTTTAATATTACAATTAAAACGTTTTTTTTAATCGCAAATGGCATAGTCTAAAATATAATATTAATCTAAAATGTAAAGCAGCGTGACGTCATGTGTACATTATGCTTACTTGTTTTGAAAAAAGAAGTGTTATGTTGTATAATGATAATGACATAAAAAGAACATTCATAACACTGATGTCATTTTTATCATCATGACTTTGATTTTCGTCAGTGCAAAATAGATAAATAAGAGGTTTGAATGATTGATTCCTAAATCAATAACATCACGGAAATGGGGAATCTTTATCCATATTTATTTAACGTCAGGATTTTCAACACTATTACAGTAGGTATAGGTATTTTGCTCAAAATTAAATAGAATACCCACTTTCAAAACTATACTAAGCAAACGGTGTGCAAATAACAACAGACTATTGACAATTTAGTGAAAAAAACAACAGTGAAGAATGAGTGATCGACAACCGCTGCGCAAGAGTTCGCTGAAAAACGAAAGGCCGGGACATGGGCGCAGGAAAGATTTACACGTGCTCATTAGGGTGCCGGATTCGGATCGAGTCAGGTAGGTAAAACAATGGAACATTTAATACCTAATGAATGTGTCAGTGTCATTTCTTCTCGTGAATACATTGTAAATTACAAGGTATTAGTTATTATATAATAATAACGCGCACACACTCATAAACCGACACTAGGGAGATCTTGTATCGCAGGTGCCATGGACACACATATAGACAACCATAAATTACACACAAACTCACGGGAGAAATAAACGTAGGCCATACAAATATTTCTCCTGGCCCGGAAATCGAACCCGGGACCTCTGCGTGGCAGTCCAGCATGGTAACCGTTCGACCAAAAGGCAGTTAGTTAGTTCTTTGCGTGCTATAATTTTATTTCTGCTGTGTCTCTATTATATCTACTCTCGTAAACTCCGAGGACAGCAAAAGGTAGACTAAAACAGCACTAACTGGATTTAAAATATTTATTAGTGGCAGTAGAGCTCCTTTTCAAAGAGTTCATCCAGAGAAATACTGCTACCTTACCTACTTCTGATACCGTGCAGTAATGTGATTTATGCATTACGGTTTTGTAGGGTAAGAGTGCTGGTGAAATTATGTCCCAAGGTGACGGGCCCAATGGCACTGCCCCTTAGGTCTTAGAGATTAAAGCTTTGAGTAGTACTGCAACTGTTATGAACAGGCGTGTCGCTTACCGCCAGGTGCACGACTTGTGCCTCTATTCCACTTAGTTCAACTATAAGTACAATCAGTTGAACTAATCGAACACAAATATTCCAATTAGTTCAACTATGTACAACTATTCAATAAGTTGAACTGATAGGACGAAGTTCATCCTGTTAGTTCAACTTTCCAATTTCTAAATTACGTATTACTGATAACATGTTTTTGTTGTTGTTGATATTAAACAATGAATAAATGTGTAATTAAATAGAATATAATATAAAATAGATAGCAAAGTTTAAGCGATAACTGTAAATCCAGATTTTTATGCATATATAAAACACCTCTAGTATTGTCATGCCCTACTGGGCCCATAATGTA